CAGTATAGGGAAAGGGAGAGAAGAAAGAAAAAACCAAACCTTTCCCTTTTCACTTTCCTTCGCTACTTCAGACTCTTCTTTGGGAACAATGTTATTTTTTTGTAAGTTTAAATTCCAGGGTACCTTAGTTGTTGCTTTTGCAATTTAACCCGGTCAGCCAAAACTTTCACTTGTTATCTTCCTCCTGCACATTCTTTTCCGGTCGAGTTCTTCTTTGAGGTGGCCATTTCTGACCACCGCTGCAACCGCCTTTGGGAAAGGGAGTAATAGCCAGCTGAGGAGGAGAGATGCGGCTCTCCTCAACCCTGCTGGCAGTCTCCCCCCTCTTCACCACCTCTACGGGGTGGCTTAGCCCCGAAACCAGCCGGCTCGGGGCGCTCCAGCGGCAAGCTGGATATCTGATATTAGCACAATATCAGCACGTATTAGCACGATATTAGCATGTATCTGATATTAGCACAATTGAGAAAGTCCAGAAATATTTCACAAGAAGAGTTCTCCACTCCTCTACTCGTTGTAGAATACCTTATGCCACCAGACTTGAAATTCTAGAACTAGAAAACCTTGAATTACGCCGTCTTCGGTCTGACTTAAGCATGGTATATAAAATCATACATTGCAATATCCTACCTGTCAATGAATACTTCAGCTTCAACCATAACAACACAAGAGCACACAATAGATACAAACTCAAAGTAAACCGCACCAAACTTGATTGCAGGAAATACGACTTCAGCAATAGAGTGGTCAATGTCTGGAATACTCTACCCGACTCTGTAGTTTCTTCCCCAAACCCCAAAAACTTTAACCTTAGACTGTCTACTATTGACCTCACCCCTTTCCTAAGAGGTCTGTAGGGGGCGTGCATAAGCGCACCAACGTGCCTACCGTCCCTGTCCTATTGTTTCTCTTATTCTTTTATTTTTCTTATATGTACCCATTTCATGTATTCACAACTATGTATACATTTATACTTATTATCTTGTAAACAATTGACAAATCAAATAAATAAATAAATAAAGCCCAGACCGAAACCGTGCACGATTGCAGATTTCTGTCTGTCGCCGAAGAAGCTCAAAACCAGAAGCCCAATTAAGTACCATTTCTTAAAAGAAATATTCCTGCCCTTGAATCACATAGCATTTATAATATACAACTGCAGATGACAATGATTTTTGGAGGTAATCAGGTTCAGACCTGATCAATATTGGATAGGAGACATCAACAAGTTGCAAGGCAATAGAAAGTCAAAACAAATTGTGGAAAATGACAAAAATAAATCAGTTTTGCATTATTGCCAAGCAAACATTTTGGATGTGTTTATGCAGTCACAAGGAGTTAAGCTCAGTTCAAGGTATATTTACTTTTGCCATGGTGTTCAAACAGGTTTTGGTGCCTTTTATCATTCATTTTAAAAAAGATTTCTAATATATTTCCTTGTTTTGATTTAGGTGTTAATAGTCTTACTGTTTAGTAGAAAGAATAATTTCAGCTTAAATAAATGGGCAATATTTTTAATTAAATTGTAGAAAGTTTTACCAAAAAAAAAAACCTTGTTCTAAACACCCTCTGTCATGTACTGAGTGCTAGAAGTAAGTCTAGAAATCACAAATTAGGTGTACTTTGTCTCCCTGGTCCAATGTAGTGTACTAGTTGCTCTATGTACAAAAACATAGGTTTTCAGTCACGAGCATGCAAAATGTACCAAGATCTGGATGGCACTATCTGTTCTGCTAACATTCACATAATTTCCTTCCTAATTGCAGTACAAGACTGAAAGACACCGAGTCAGGTTGTTTACTCTTCAAAGTAGATTTTATAGCACAGTTACACTGAACTCCTAGTCGCTTATCTTGCCCTACCTTTCTTGCTCTACCTTTAAGCCAGATTTTTAATTGAATTATTTATCAGCATTTTTCTATAATAGTACTTCTTGTTGATTCCTGATTACTTTCAATGTCTTTCTCTGGAAACTTTTCTGTAAGCTATTAAATATCTACAGTGCCTAATATTGCATAACACACAAAAATTAACAGTAGTTAATCATCTTATAGTTCAATAGATTGTATGAACCCAGACAGATGGATAACCATTGCACACTCATGGTTAAATGAACTCCTTTTCTAGGGTGGCACAGCAGTAAATTAAAATACAAATGAACCCCAAAAGTTGGATATAATAGGTTAAAATGTGAACTATAATTAGGCCATTTGAGCAGTTTCTAGCTGCTGGGCCCCTGTTGCTACTCACTAAACATGCAGTTTTTCTACCTTAGTTTCTTTAAGTGATATGTGGAGGATGAGATTTTGAGCAGGAGAAAATTTTGACCTTCTGAACATAGCCAACTTAGTTTTAATTATTAACAATAAAGTTTATTTCTATCTTTTCAGACTAGAATCAATTACAAAACTGCTTTTCAGTTGAAAACTTTGATCCCGGGGTCAAAAAACCAAAAATTTACGCTTGCTTCTCTTCCTCACAAGATACTGAATTACTTTTGTTATTAACAGATTATGTGCTGAGTAGAAGGTCACTGTGTGCTTTAAGTTGTGATGGTGATGATGCACACAAACTAAACATTTGTTAACATTCATTTTGCCTGGACTGGCAAGAATTTTAGGATAGATACATGCACGTTTCTTGGTATAATTTGGTTTACTGCCATAAAATGTGGCAATTAGTTAAGGAAGCTTTTTTAAAGGAGATTGAGGAAATTGATGCTGTCTTTACAAAACCATAATATTTTGTAGCAGTGTGCTCTTCAATAATAATTGCTGGGGAGGTAAGCACAGTCTGTGGAAGCAGAATGCTGGATTACATAAACCTTTGTGTTGATCCAGTAAGACTCAGTATGATACATGTTAAACAACAAGATCATAATTTCAAATTTATTTCCTCCTGCATGTTCATTTGTTATGTTTTTACAGGAACTACTTGTCACATAAGGATTGAATCAGGACAAAGCTACATTCCTAACAAAAACAAAAAACAAACCCCTTGTTGCTACTGCCATTGATTTAATGGGAGATTAATTTGCCACCAAGACTATCAGGTGGAAGAAAAAGTTTTGCCCCCAATCCCCTCAACTTTCCCAATCTAGTTTCTTCCACATAAGTAGGTTCTGCAATTCCCATAATTTCTAGCCAGCATCTATAGACCACCTGTTTGGGGAAAGCTGATTTATTGCATATGTACTCAAACAAAGTCAAGCCATTACAGGGATCTTCAAACTTGACAGCTTTATGACTTGTGGACTTCAACTCCCAGAATTCCTCCTCCAGTCATGGTAGCTCAGGAATTCTGGGAGTTGAAGTCCACAAGTCTTAAACTTGCCAAGTTTGAAGACCCTTGATTGGGACATTAAGCGTATAAGGAGTGGTAAAATAAATGCATATGGTCCTCCTTTAACTGCAGTAGCTATTTTTCTTTTTATATACCTTTATTACAAAATCAGTACTAATCAAAAATTTCCAGTCAAATATAAGTGACATTATAGTCATGCTATAAAGAAATGGAAAAATAGTATGATTTTGATTGTTGGTTTGAGAAGTTAGATGCTTAATGAACTTCAAATGATAATCAGATAATTAAATATAGGTAGTCCTCAACTTATGACCACAACTGAGCCCAAAACTTCTGTTGTTAAGCAAGACAGTTGTTAAATGAATTTTGCCCCATTTTACAACTTTTCTGGCCACGTTTGTTAAGTGAATCAGTGCAGTTGTTAAGCTAGTAATATGATTGCTAACTGAATCTGGCTTCTCCATTGACTTTCCTTGTCAGAAGGTTACAAAAGGTGACCACATGATCCTAGGACACACTTGCAGTCATAATAAATATCAAGCAGTTGTCAAATGTCTGAATTCTGATCACGTGACTTTGGGGATGCTGCAAAAGTTGTAAGTTTGAAAACATAGTCCAAAGTCACTTTTTTCAGTACTGTTCAGTCACTAAATGAATTGTTGTAAGTGTAAGGACTACCTGTATTGTTTTTGGCTTGTTTTTTTTTACATCTTGTCAAATCCTCCTATCACTCATCATGGTGGCCTTGAAGTCAAACTATACCTGTGTCATGTCTCCAAGGCATGCTGGAACCGTGACACCACACGTTGTGCCATGTCAGACTATGCTATTGAGGGGGGAAGTCCTGTTAACTACCCAACCCGGGGCTTCGACTGTTCGACGGAGATAATGAGCCTTGCTGACGTCACACGCTGAGCTGTTACAGCCTGCGGGCGGTTGTAGACAAAGTGATTAGGATGCTGCCTGCTGAACTAACGATCTAGAAAGGGGTGGAGGGTACTTCATAGGCGTAAATACAATGATGGAATATGATAGTTTGTACAAGTATAGTAAATAGGGGTAAACAATTAATGGCTAAAAGCACGGTGTATAAGGTGTTACATGGTGATCGGATGTGATGCAGTAACGCTCACTGGATGGTAGATAAAATTATTAAGTTGTTAACTGTTGTATAAATACAGCTCTGGCTGCGAGGTGCACCAGAGCTGACTTTAATTCCTTTTGGTTACTCATTGTTACCTGAATCCGGAGCATTGTATGGACGAATAAAGACTCATTTGATTATTACCTTGAGACCTTTGTTTTCCTTCCTGTCTGGAATTTGGCGAAACAGCTGAGAACCTGTTATTTACAATATCAGGCTGCCAAAAATAGAGACAAGGTAACCTTTCCCATCAACTGCAATATATTGTGTTCTGGTCAATTCGTTCTCAGAGTTTGCTGAAATGCTCCGTCTCTACTTTGTGCCTCTTCATCATCTTTCTGTTTTTGAAGGATCTGAAGAAACTTGCACCACAAAGCCTGTTTAGGTCAAGGTGACTATCACAGAACTCATGCATCTTTTACTTACAGCCTGGACTCATTTTATGAAACAAGTAATCCAAATTACCTCCCAACCTTTTCTTGAGCTTCAGCTGCAAAATCAATACTGGTACCATTTCAGAGGATTTTTGACTCATGGAAGAGACACAGCTGATACTATACGGGGGGGGGGGGGGGGGGTTTACAAGGGTTTCAGTTAATGTTTAATTCTGTGAAAGGCTGGAACAAACGCTTTTGCGCATTTTGTATCACGAGTCGTCAACCTGTCTGTCATCCAATGTATTCAGTGTGGTTTTCAATTGGCCACCCTCTAAAGAAGATGTACATTGTGAATGCTGCCAGAATTGTTTACATGAAGACAAGGGCTCTAGAATCATCTAGATGAGTGGCATGCTTGTAACTATCAATATATTGCCTATTCTGCTTGATCTGGTAGCAGCTCTTGAAGAATTCAAAAGGGGGAGGAGGAACTTTTCCAGATGTCTGGTAAGCTTTTTTAGTTAAAGATCTGTGGGCTGAGCAGGTCTTTCCTACATACAAAGAATACAGTCTTCCGAGCAATGATCTATTGGGACAGGACTATACTTTTCTCTTTATTTCAAGAAGCTCATAGTTAGAAAAAGACAAGGGAAAAGAAAAGACCTCCTCTGTTGGGATAAATGCTACAGAGATTTAAAGAAGCTGTGGTGATTGTGTCATTCTGCTCTCCGGTTTAATTAAGCACGAGCAAAAACAATATCCTCCTCTGACTACAGATTAATTCAGTTACAAACCACAGTGTTTTCAAGGAAGTAAGAACAGTGACTTTGTATGCATTGTTGATACAACTTACATAATCCCCATCCTGGCTGTGTGCCCCATTCATTACCTCTGTATGATAGCCCTATGGTAGAGCAATTGCTATCTGTATCTTTTTTTAAGGGAAGCATCAGTCAGATGCTCAGCCATAAAAGCAGAATTTGATCATGTTATATGAGATTAATCTAATTCTAAACTATTTATAAGGGTGTGAAAAGGGAGCTTTTAACTTAGTTTCAATTCATGAACTACATCCTGGCAGCCAGAGCAAATTCTATGCAGAATCTGGCAGTAAAAATTTTCTGAAGCAAACCAGGACATTGCAATACAGTATATTTTTCTCTAAAATTCATCAGGAATGGAATAATCTACCTGTTCCTCCAGCTGCAGCCTGGAACCCATCTGTTATTGGTAATCACTAACTTTTAATCTCACTGTCAAACAGAAAAATAGGGCTCTGGCAGGGAGAATAGGGCTTACTTTTATGATGCAGTTCATCTTGGATATTAATATGCTAACTAAAAAGCAACCAAAGACAGGGTCAGGAAAAGCTGAAGGCAACCAAGAAATATGTATGTTATTTATCTGATTGCATACTTTACTATGTAGCAGGTGAGATTGCATTAATTGTCTTACTTTGGTGGTTTTCTGCAGTTTTAATTCAGCTTTGTTAGGGTTTATTGAGCATTTGCTCAGCACTAATTTGTAAATGACATTTTTATAAAAGTGATGTTCCCTGACTTAAGTAAAATCTTTATCAATGCAAAAATGGAACAGAAATAGCCTGAAAAGTGCTATGCTTTTTCCTTCCCTTTGATTTAAAGAAACATTGGATCCATTAAAAAGTTTAATTTGTTTTCTAACACAAGCATCTCCAATTGCCATAATGACAGCTATTCATTATTAAAAGGAGCCTCTGTGGTGCAGTGGTTAGAGTGCAGTTCTGCAAGCTACCTCTGCAGACAGCTGCCTACAATTTGGCAGTTCAAATCCCACCAGGCTCAAGGTTAATTCAGCTTTCCATCCTTTCCAGATGGGTAAAATAAGGACACAAATTGTTGGTGGCAATATGCTGATTCTGTAAAACGCATAGAGAGGACTGTAAAGCACTATAAAGCAGTATATAAGCCTAAGTGCTATTGCTATTCATCAGCTATCACTGTTTCTTCATTCCTCTGTCATTTATTGAATAGGTTAGTAAATATCTTAAAGACATGTCTTAAATCCAGTATTAAATCCAATCTTTGAGCGATGCTTTTGCCATCTGCTAAAGAGGGAAAAGAGCCACGGGAATAATCCATGAACTAAGATGCAAGAAGAAATGTTATAAGAAACACAGGTTCTTTCCTACCTTCTTGCCATTTACAAAGAAGACCAGTTCATTCTTTTCTGGGACCATTTTGCGCTTCTTCTGAATGGAAAATAGGAAGTTCTTGGATCACACTCTCTAAAGTTGCCCAACACAGCTGCAGCCTCAATCCCAGAGATATCAAAACAGGCAATAGGAGGCTTTCTTAGGAATCTTTCATCTTATATTGCAACACTGGAAGAGTCCAAGTTATAAAAGAACCACCCAGAGGCGTGTCCGCTACACTTGGCTGGGATTTCATACTCTAAAGGAAAAACAGAAAAAAAGTAGTCTCCACCCCTTTCCGTGCCATGAAATTCGATGCAGTCTTCTATAGATCAGGCAGCCAAACTTTGGCAAAAGAACAAGATTGCTCAAAATTAATGTCTCTTATATGTTCTTCCACTTGTGACGTATGTCTACCATAACTGATTCTAGAAGAGTGGCTCTTGAACTATTTGACCCAATTTCCTCCTTTCCCAGTCTCGAATCATGTCCTTACCTCCATTAAAAAGAGCCCAGACTATTATTTCACAAGCTGCAGCTCAGACTGGATTCTTGACACACGAACAAGCAATTGCAAATTGCTTCATTGGATATGCTCAGATTATCCACTGGGGGTAATTAATACCAGTTTAGAACCAATGTGTCACATCATAATTTACAATAACTTTGTTAGTTTTTCTCAACTTTTGCTTTTAAAAAGCTGTCCGAACCTAAGGAATCTGTGCTTATAAGCTATATAATTAGACTGTAACTTAAAATACAAATTAGATATATTTATCCAATTGATTTTGTAATTCTCAAATCCTTGTAATTACAATATGTTAGTTAAAACAAGTGACTGCATTCCTCTTGGGCAATTATGCAGGGTTAGGGTTCGGCTCTGTCATCAGGACTTGAGATTTAGTCTTCTAAACTTTTGGACTCACGCTAGAGCCCATCCTCAGGGAATTTTACTCTAGCAGAATGTGTTGCTTTCTAGCAGAATTATGCTTCTATTGGATGACTCTTAACTGTGATACGAACTACTGTCTGGTAGTTCTCTTGAGCAAAAATAATTCTTCAATCAACTTACAAAGGTTTTATTCAAGTTAAATGCTTTCTTTTCATAGCTCTCAAAAACAGCTATAGCATCTATTATTTAATTTTGAAAAGATTGGCATTAAGTGGTCAGCATCAAATCAAGCATGACCTAATTATAATTTATTTGTATTCTCCTCCTCTTTCTAAATAAAATATACCGTATTTGCCGGCGTATAAGATGACTTTTTTGCCCTGAAAAACATGCCTCCAATTGGGGGGGTCGTCTTATATGCCGGGTCGTCTTATACGCCGGCAAATAGTAATTGGGAAGCACTGC